AAAATATTATCACAATGTTCGTATGAATGACGTCTGTATCACTAAGCTTGAGAAGCTAAGTGGAGCAAACTGCAGAATTCAAGAACCTGAGATTTAGCAAACGACGTTCATATTGAAGTTAAGATTTGCTCTATGGTCTACCAAGCAGGGAAACATTTGCACGCATTATCATTAGATTTAAAACATCTCTCATTTTACATGAATCAGCCATTTACTATCATTCACGTATAAATATGTATATATAGATATAGCTGCATTACACATGTTAATGTAAATGAAGATATAACTAATAGGATTTGATTGTTCATAGCTTTAGTTCATTTTTACAGTTTTCACTTCTGATAATGAAAATCCGCTAACTTATTCAGCTAGTAAAAATCCCTTTCTCACATTCATTCAAATTCTATTAGAACAAATACCCTTGCAAAAAGTGATGTAATCCATTCCTGGTAGAAATTATCAAGTTCCTGATCATACGAAATTACTTGAATAAATGTTTCGTTTGTAACAAATTATATAGGGAACGAATTAATCCTGTCAGTATATGGATACATAAATGGCAAAATATTTTAAAATTCAATATCTTGCGGGGTTGGCAAAGCCCACCGCTATAAATTTGCTATGAATTAGGTATAACTGGAAATCAATTTTCTTATGCTGTCATTTTATATCCAGTGAGCGCATTGAGGCATAATGCAATATTACTGCAGAAACAATCACACAAAAACTATTTCTAACCTTGGACAGGTTTGTATATAAATCATTCCTGTAACTCAAATTCTTTGGAAATTCCGATAACCTAATTTTTATCGTGGTGGTATGAAACATACTCTTGGCAAATATTCAATTTGAGCATGAACAACTGCATTATCAGTTAATCACCTTGGTACCTTAATGTTATGCTCAATACGGGTGAACCCAATCACCTCTATACAACATAGCAGTACAAGTGACAAATACGGAAAATATCGTATTGCTTAAAAATATGCCTTTTGATAGAACAATTTAACGGTAATATAATCTGTAAAATGCCATTTTAGAGAGAGAGATATGTTTATTTTATGACTCAAAATACCAGCCATTAAGTTGAGCTGGGAAGCTGTGTACACTCAACTAGATCTATAGCAACATATAGGTAATGTGTTTTGCAGTAGAGCTGTAGTGATCTTAGATATCTGCAAGTACAGTAGGTCTACATTCTCAATGACAGTCGAATTTATCACTATCTATCTATACTCTGACTTACTGGTAGACATAAAGTAAAAACATGATTGAACTCTATAAACATAAACCTAATATTAGATTGAATACACGTGAACTGCTAATAAAGTGAAGAGAGTTATGTACTTGTAAAGGTTATACAAGTGGTGAAATAGATATGTTCTAAAGAATTAGCAAAATATAGCGATATGAATTTCTTCGTTAGTACCTTTTCACAGCGCTGTACGAACATGTATTTTCTGTTTTTTACATTCTTTACTCCAAAAAGCAAAAATCCAACCATTCCTCTGTACAACTATTGGTCGATACCTAATCGTCAGTGTATTTGTATCTGTGTTTTATTCAGGGTTCCTTCACATTATTAGCAGTTGGGTTCCAACTGACATGACGCCATAATGTTCACGTTTTGCTCGAGATGTCATCGTCTTCATTGTCCTCGCTGATTTTATCAAAAATAATCCGTTTATTGGTAAGATCCCTATCTGTTAATGCAATTAAATCGATATTGAGTTGCGAAATGCTCAGACGTCGACGAATACCTGAAATAAACGGTAATGCTCTTCGTTGGGTGCACGATGACTGTGTTAGCTAGCGGATGTTAGATAAAAGTATTTGTGCTCGGTGCTTACAATATGAAAATAAAGAGCGACAAGCATGTAGAAGTGACAATTGACCGCGCATCGTTGTTTCGCCGTGCAGTACATGAGGTTTATATCTAACATCGACTTGAATTCTTTCCAAATTCGTTTGGGTTAAGTTTCGCTTTCTGAATTAATCAAGAGTTAAGAGAAAATTTTGGAAGCATTTTTCTATTACTAGAAAACTAAGGAATTTGAAAAATATTGGACGTAAAGGTCGATTCTCAGTGACTGATTAATGAATATTTACTTGTCACGTAGGTATTTATTCTAGAGCCCTGTATAAAGGTGATCGGGGTACAAAATCTACAATCGATATATTTTTTCAACAAAGCTGCATCTTTGGCCTTGTCCAGTGGCCTTAACCAAAGAATACTTAGCAAATGCTAGTCGATTACTTGAATACGAATCCTAATTGTGTAGAACATACAAAGCTTCAAAATCGACATATCTCCAATCACTTGCCATGAATAAAATAGATGCGTCAGTTAAAGCCTTGATAAATATGAATAAATGATGAATTTAATGACCACTTACGTGCACTGTCGTATTTAAGTCGATCATGAATAAAAAAAGGTAGTCAAGGATGTCAAATCTGGGAGTTTATCTTTAACTTCACGATGTAGTAAAACAGACGATGATAATGAATATTTTTCACGATTGAAATATCTTCGTGACAGAACTGGTCAAAAGTCTTTCTTCTACACCTCATTTGCAAGCTTACATATACAGTGCATTTAAAAAAGCCTCCCCCAGTTATTTTTTGAACGGGTTAAGTCAGTCCTAACTCCACAATTAATCATCAAAAAGCAATAGTATGTTATTGCGATTTTCTTCTTTTGGAAGGGTTTATCTAAATGTGCAATAACACAATTGACAGCGTGTGACAGCTTTTTCCAAGAGAAGAAGACCGTTGTAACATCGCTTTGATTACTGCTTGTTAAGCTATAAGCGCTTCAATGTACGAATATCGGCTCGGCAGTCGATTCCCCTCTTTGAAAGATAGCGAATATAAATGCCTCATCCCGAATTCTCCAATTCCATTTTTACGTATAAATAGAGTATTCGTGCATCAATTTCATCATGCCAAATTTCAACTTGTTAGCGTGACTAGTTTAGTCTGTAGGGAAGTAGTGGACAATCCGATTTTGATATTTTTAAATAGAATCTTTCGTGTTATACTATATATTCAGATACATCGTTCCAAGAGATAAATATTTATATAACATAGTTTTGATGAGTGGCTGTTGAGTTGTAAGCGATTCAATGCATAAACTACTTATAAGTAGCTTCAAAACGTGATATCACGTGATCGCCAATCACATTTAAGAGCATGCTCCAAGATGACAGCCAGCCGATATCTTGAAATTTCTAACTGCAACCTTCTCGCTAAGCTTCAAATTCATGCATTAGTTTTTTCACTCTGAATTTCAGCTTGCAAACTTGACCCGTTCGAAACATAATTTTGAGAAAGACGTTTTTGAAAAAGTTCTTCCATGGTCTATTGTACCTCGATTCCTACTATCAAAATGGAGAAGGCAAAAATGCCGCTAGTAACATGATGTCTGGCAACTGTATCCAAATCTTTCTCGCATACCAGCATGTTGCCATAATTCAAATACACCTGTTTATCGCTCAAAATCTTTGCTTGGAGTTAATATCAAGTTGGTATTTATTTCCAAATACTCGTACTGTTTACTAGAGTGAAGAGTTCTTGATAAACCATTTATTACTATTTGCTGCGTTGCTTGCATCTGACTCAAATGTGTTGAATACATTTTATGAGCATATTTATATAAATCCACTGTTCTCAATGTCTGAAACGCCCACACTTCTGGACCATATCTAAATAAAATTTATTCATTTACATACACTCAAGAAACACTTCAAAATAATGTTATGACATATAACATCACAAAACCGAGCAAAAAACTTACTGCTTAAACCATCGTAATGGAAACATTACAACATAAAAGTGATGCAGTTATTACATTATATTCTATATATAGCTCTTCATGTAATGCATTGTAGCTAGGTAGTACTTCTTTAGTCCAAATAAAGTTCAATTGTCAAGTTGTAGTTCATAATCATGAGAGAAGTGTCATGCATTTTCGTTAATACTATCACAAAATATTTTAGAAAATAATGAAGCTCAAATGATTTCGAAATATCTGGTTATCTTTAAGATATCTCTAGACTTACGTTCTAGAACGATAGGTAACTTGAAAAATGCAACATAAATTCCAATTCAATAAATATGTAATTTTTCTTTAACTAATACTGCAGTGGATATTTGCACCTAGCATGAAATCTATAAAAATGAGTCAAAAGTTTGAACCACTGCTTATACTTAAAAACATTGAAGGATTCTAAGAAAACTGTGGGTTTTACGGCCAGGAAACTTCGTTAATGAGTACAGAAAATAAGACTCGTTCACTAGTGTAGTCCTAAAGCATTGTCTGCCGTGTTAAGCACAATGGGGGTATGTGTAATTTTCGGGAATATTTGATCATTGCTACCTAGTGAATCAGTGTATTTTTCTCTACTCGCTTATAAAGTTCTTTGGCTAAACCATATAATAGTTTTCTTGACATCCTTACATTCTTATTCCACTTATCTGCACCAATGTCATGCTTTACTGAGGTGTATGAGTTGCAAGCGACAATGGTAGTGACAGCTTAGTTATATGACTTTTTTGCCTAGTAACGTGCTTCATACAACTTATATGCCTTAGTAGTGTAACAGTTGCTACTTTTTTGCTTTAGTCTGTTGACAAGTATTATCTTTAGTTATCCGTAAGTGTTGCAGATACCACTCAATTGATTCATTAAGTTGTACTTACGCCTATTTGACGTAGTATTTTATCAGTTATTCTTTCTAATATAAGCGTTTACCTGCCTAACTAAAATAATATTTCCAAGAAATTCAACGGCATTTATTACAATCAGATTAGCTTGGTACTGTGGAGTCAAAGTCTTCTTACACATCAAAATATTATCATGAGTTATCTCAGATGAAAACACGTTGATCAGTTTATTTTTGACTTTCTCTCTTCTCTTATGAAAGTTTTCACAACCTGACAATTAAACGAATCTGTGTCAAAATATCGAGATTGTGATTGTCTTTGTTTGACGGTTTCAGGGCTCCGCTGACTCAAATTACTCCCAACCGTCATCGGACTTGTCGCTGGACGAGGAGAAGGAGACCCTCAGGAGAGAGAAGGAACGTCAAGCACTTGGGCAACTGGAGAAAGCTAGGGTGGGTACTTTTTCTCAACTCGAATGAATGAAATGTAAACTATTTAGTTATTAACCCAATTCATTAGGTACGAAAAGTGTCCGAAAAAAGCCTGCCGACTTGAATCAAGAGGAGACATCTTGTAACGTGAACATAGACCAGGATGTCTAGAATCTCAGAAAACAAATGGCGACAAGTAGATTAACTTGTTACGCAACGCTGTCATCAATTTATAAGGTTTGTTCGGTGACTTGTCGGTGACTGTGCCTGGGATCCGGCCTTGTGAATTCCGTCAATATAGCATAGCACAACGGATCGAATTTATGAGGCGGAATCTTTGAGATTTTTACTGACAGGCTGGCGACTGCTGTACGAACAGGGCTTTTAACAATTATATTCGTCAGAAGTTAGTCCCGCATAGGAGGAAGTTGGTAACGATCATGTATAACAGAGGAATTAAGTCGATCATGTCAACCAAACAGGCTGATACAAGTAGCCTACAGTCCCCACAGATTTGACAACATTGCGATTTAGCCGATCGACAGTAGCAACCCAGCGTGGCGTTGCATAAACGGATATTACACACCGCATCATCATCCCAGTTATCCCTGGGTATTCGAAGCAGACCGACGTCCGCTCGTTGAATTATCTCAAATCAAAATCAATCAAATCAAACCATTATTTCAATACTGAAAATATGTAAATGTATAGGAATTGTCAATTTTTGGTGCGCTAATAATCTTAAATTGCACTAATACTATTCGTCATTATTCGTCATAGCGGTCCGGTGGACCTTTGCTCTTAGTTAAAAGTCTCGTCGGTCTGTTAGTCTGTCAAGTCTGGCGACCCAGATACCAAACATGTTTAAGGGGAAAAGGGAAAGAAGGAAAGAAAGGAAGGAAGAAATAGAGCAAAGAAAAGAAGTAAATCATTTGAAATAGCTTAAGCATTATTTTATAACTCCAAAAAAATAATTTTGATCGGTTTTGTATACTGAAATAATTATGGCTGGTCTGAATTTACAATTGAATTTTGATCACAGTGCGAGGCGCGGCCTGGAATGTTTGCGAACTTGCTCGACTGTGTAGACTACTGAATCACGCAACAGAGGGTTGCTGTGCAATTCCGCTTGATTATAACGCCACTGCGCCTGTTGTTTTACGTAATCCCTTAAATATAGGATATCAAGATCTCTGTGAATAGTCTCATTTGGCACGTACCAAGTGGCGTTTGTAATTGTGCGTAATGTTCTGTTTTGCAGCCGCGCATGCGTAGGTGATTTTGGGTCTTTGACCATTTTATACAACCGAATCTTGTTGAATTTCTGCACAACTGAGAATAAAGCTGCCGAAAGGTAATTTGGAATTTTGTTTACAAAATATCATTATGTTTCTGCCAGGTCAATCGCTTGTCAATGATGACTCCAAGATACCTGACAGATGATAAATGCAGGTTGTCTATTGTACTTAGCCATTTAATGGCTGCGGAAAGATCGCCTGCAATGTCTTAGTGGCGCTAATCAGGGGACTTATTATTTGTAGAAGGGACCTAAGCGCAGTTGCTAGGTCCACATTCTGCGTACTCAAAGTGGGTTGAACGGAGGGGCGGGGGACAGCCGAAGATGTTGAGATGGCTGCTTCCGCGTATGACTTCCAGATTTCGCCTGGGGGTGAATCTGCAAGTGGGACTGTTAGCGGGATGCGCCCCTCCACAGTTCTCACACTTTCGCTCCTCTTGTCCTGTGAGGGGGCATAAATGTGTCATGTGGTCGGAAGCACATTTTAAACATTTGGGAGGTGCTGTGCAGTAAGACTGCGCATGACCATACCTTTGGCAGCGGTGACACTGCCCAATAAGTCTTTTGAACTTCAACTCTGATTGCTAGACCCAGCAGCTCATGTTCATTGAACAGCTGCTGGGACTTTTCAATCTTGGGCAGTATCACGACCACCAAAGGCATGGGTGCGCCGCCACTGCGTTTGAGTCGGATAATGTGGAGAGGAGTATATCCCCTCTGTTCTAATTCCCCTTTGATCTCCTGTTGCGAAAACATTGCGGGTATGCCTCTGACAACCGCGTGAATATTTCTTTCTAAACGAAGAGGGTAGTTTAGATGTCGCCACTTGGTCGCATCACGCAAAACAATGGGCGTGATTCGCCCCTGGCGGGTTGCTGTGCTAATCAACTCACCAGCAACGTGAGATTGTTGAGATAATGCACCGTCAGTCGTTGCAGTGGCCAAAGATTGAGAAGATGTGGTCGCTGCATCGACCGTCATAGGACAAGTGGCAGTAATGTAAATCATTACGAATGTATATAGCAACTCCACCTCTTTTTTCTTTCGTGTTTTTTCCCCTAGCTCTGCCGCCACTGGACCGATTTCCAGAAACTATGAGGCTTTTTCGTCCTTGGCATAGTAGTAACCTTATGTGACAGTTCTATCATAATCCGAGCGGTACTTGTCATATAACATCTAAAAGACATACGAGCCCCTCCCCACTTCAGTAGTCCAACTATTGAAATCTTATTTTTTTTCTTATCAAACACAAATAATAAAAATGTAGCAGGGTGTTATAGGTTTAAAATATTAACAATGAATATTTTGATAATATATAGTAGAAAACACCATCTTTATCACTTCCAATTGCAGCATATCAACCTATTTTCATTTCAATGCAAAATAAGTCTATAACGTATAGGTGGCCGTGAAAAATAAAAGCCACATCAATTGTTTTTATTAATCACAGCTGTCAGAATACGTTTAAAATAGTTTTGGATTGTTAAGGTTTTCAAAATGGGTAGAGGAAAGGTTATTAGTGAGAAAATTCGGTTACTGATAATTAAATTTTTTAATTCTGGGAAATCAAACTCAGAAATTGCAACTTTGTTAAACTTATCGCAGTACAGTGTGAGAAATATTGTTAGAAAATATATCGTAACTGGTTCAGTTAATATTAAGCTACGATATGTGAAAAAAAGTACTATCACAAATGCCGACCGAAGAAGAATAATTGTGAAAAACAGGCGTGCCAATTATTTACAATTAAATGCTCTGTGGAGTGTAGCTGTTGGAAGGAGAATTTCGAGGTCCACAACTCATAGAGAACCCCACAAACTGGGATTTAGCACCTGCAAGGTAAGTTTTCTTATAAAAAAAAAGTGAAGTAAAGACCCTAAAGTTGCACAACTTGTTTATAGGCCAAACAAAAGCTACTATTAACTCCACTGCAAAAGAAAAATCGGCTTAGATGGGCTAAAGAACATAGACAATGGACACCTCAACAATGGTGTGCAATACAATGGAGTGATGAGGCCCGATTCGAAGTTTGTGTTGGTGACAGTCGCAGTAGAGTTATACGCAAAAAAAATGAAGCATTCCATGTTGACTGTCTGAAGAGAAAAGTGAAATTTCCAGCATCCATTATGGTCTGGGGCAGTATGTCATCAAAAGGAGTAGGAAAACTTCATTTTATTGGTGGAAATGTGGACACAAACAAATATTTGCCAATTTTAGAAGAATGGCTTTTACCAGTGATGGAAAAATGTTTGACATCCGGCCAAGATTTTGTGTTTCAGCAAGATAGTGCAGCGTGGCATACCTAAAAAAAGGCTATAAAGTGGATGGAAGAAAATAATGTAATACTTTTGACATGGGTTTCTAGCAGTCCAGATCTGTCACCTATTGAAAGAGATGAAAAAGGTTCTACGACAACATCCTGCTAGTACAATCACCGAACTGAGACAAAAGCTTCAAGAAATATGGGATTGTTTTACACCAAATGTTTGCCAAAACTTGGTTAACACTATGCCCCAAAGAATTTCAGCCGTAATAAAAAATGAAGGTGATGTTACCTAATGGTAATTTTTCAATTGTTGCTTTGTTAACTTCGCGCATTTATTCGCACATTGTTTATTTGTTCAGATTTTCTATTAGTTATAGGTCTAAGTGATTTCAAAAATGTATTTTTCACGACTAGAATGCATCTAAAATGTTTTTGAGAAAATAAATTGTTTTAGAAGTGAATAGTTTAGTCATGTTTAGTTTATAAAGGCATATTTTGGTACAAATCTTGAAGTGGGCCAACTGAAGTGGGAAGGGGCTCGTAATATCTCACTTTCAAGAGGTACCAAAATGTTTGCAGAGTAATTTTTAAGTTGAATACAGTGAGTTTTCTCTATATGTTTATGAAGTATTGGTAAAACTGCTGCAGAGGAAGTTTCCAGGCCTTATGTTCAATGTGTTGCAAGGATTGATACTTTTTCAAAAAAATTTCTAAATTTCAAAGCTTGAATCCTTTGTGGTGATTACTGGTCTAAAAAGTCCAACATTTTCTGAAAATTTGGTTTCAAAAGTTATTAGCAATTATCTATTTAGATGTTTGATACAAAGTTACTACTGAAATGTAATTCCGTTGTAAAAGTCATTTAAACAAGTTTTTGTAGGACAGGGTTTTGGGAAAGTCAGCCTGGTCTAATTACGTATTTATTAAAATCAAGAGATACATGACTTAATACATTTTATATTGTACAGTACTTTTCGAAAAGGTGATGATTGATGCATATTAGAACGTGAAAGCGCCAGCTGAAATTCATTCTGGAGTATTTTTCAAGAGAAGTGGGGGGTCACCTGTAATTTATTTTGGTGCTTCTTATCGGCACTTTATAGCTCTAGAGTAATCTTTAAAAATGGCAGACTGGCAACAGCAACTCAACAAGTAATCCCCAAAACTTTTATATCAATCTCCTTTTTTGAAAGAGATGTGCCTAAAATATGGCATATTCTGTTTAAATGGTTGACATATATTGACATTATTTTTAAACGAAATATATATTTCATTACATTTTCGGACAGATCGCTCCAAGAGAAGGAGGTTGCTATAGAGTGTAATAGCGTCCTGATTGATTAACTTTGATAGCCTTCCAGTTCGCCACTTTGAAGCATAATGATTTTATATTTTAGGGCTATGAAGTAATGTTAACGAACTTAAAAGTAAGGTAAGATGACGCCAAGTTTATTTAAAAAAAATTACATCCAGACGTCATCTTGATGTTTTCTAGTTCCAACTTTATGCTAAAATATAGTATTCAAACATCAATTTCATTATTCAAAATTTTAGCTTGCTGGATGGTGGTGGTGATATTTTTAAAGAGCATTTTGTAAACGCGTGACTGACTATGTAGCTGATTGTATTGAAGGAAGAATTGAATTTACTTGAAGCTTACTAATTAAATTAAATATCATAGAATTAGGAATTACCTTTTGTATTTTTTACCTTAAGGGGATAGTATATGCTACAAGAACTACAAGTCAGCTTACTTGACACCATTCTTGCTCCAAAAGTGATAAACATATTAACACTATGCACATAATAGTATCTTGATTATTTGATGTATAATAACTGATGGATAAAGTATCTAGGAAGCGCGCAAGCTCTCAGAGCGTTCAATCTAGAATGGTGACCCCTATGACATGTCTCTATACTTTGTCTCTAGGTAAGACATAGTGGGAAATCCTCAGAGATAGTACGATGACGATAAACATTATAGAACTCCATGAGTACATAGACATTAAATGACACCACATAATTATTTTTGAATACCACCAAAGTACAGTGGCCGAAATGTTAGTTAAAACGTAATTCAGACATGTGGTTTTATTTAGTGGCCAGACAACCATGGAGTCTCATCAACATGAGAACAGGATAAGTTTTCAGGTGGTATATAAGAAACATTACGTTTTGGTTGTTCTCTCCTCTGTTATATATTATTTTTTCAGGCGAAACCGGTAGCGTTTGCTGTACGTACCAACGTAGCGTATGATGGGTCGTTGGATGACGATTCACCAGTACATGGTTTTGCAATTTCATTTGAGGTTAAGGATTTTTTACATATTAAGGTATGTACTAGCTTGTATTTAAGTTCCCATATTTAAATGCATTATATAATCAAGTCATTAACTGGCACACTAATTAAAACATAAGGAACTCACTACTGCACGTTCCTGCTCTAGGCTGCCTTAGCTTGATCCAAGACACATGACTATCAAGTAGCACAATGATGGACTACCAAAGAGTATTAAGGAACTGAACCATTCTGAGCTGCTTTCCAGAGGTTTTTGATTTGAGAGTGAGTATTACTGAGTTACTCAGAGTAACTCAACAGGGTCCCTGGAAAGCAGCTCTGCCTTTTAGAAAGTTTTTATCAAAATAGAGAGTACCGGAAGTATTAGAATGATAATATTTAGGAATATACTAGCCTGATTCCAAGTCATAACGAATTATTTTCTCTAGTCATAAGTTAGATACGAATGTAATGTGTCGCTATAGTGTATTGAATATCTTTTATTTATAATTAAGTAGTGTGGTTTTCCTCTTCTTGTAACTTACTTTGAATCATATATTAGGATCTAAAATGCGAATAAAATTCTATACTATCCTATTATTCTACTGTGTAAATTACTATTAAAATTGTTTCACATCAATAGGCGGTATGTGATCTACCTCTTTTCTAACATTCATCAATTGAGTTTGTTCATATGAATTGTGCTGCTGAGTTCTGAGCCTGCCAATAGAGGATAGTCATGGTAACTCGTAAAATCTGTTGTTGTCCTTTGATTAAAATATATCAAATATTAGTCTAATCATATTGGCAATTTTTCCCAAAACAAATTTTATTGATTCAATCTGTTAGGGGGAATATTTATGTGTGGGTGCATAAAATTGATATATGAGCTTTTTATCCAATAACAAGGAATAAGAGAATACGTTTTGTAGAATTAAATCGAATTTGTTTGCATGACCGAAAATAACTGTTTAGATTTTTAGACGTTCAACAAATGAGGTTACTCATGAAAAGATATTGAAAAGAAAAAAGTTATTGTCAAAAGGTTCGCCAGAATGTCGGTCTTGGTACTGGTTTGCCGATACGACGATATTAACACGCAGCTACTTAGTTTTTCTAAAAACCTCGAAATTCATCATTGAGTCTCTGAAAATTCCAGCTCCAAATGTACAATATAAATAACAGGATGGAGCAATTTTAAAAAACAAAATATTTGATACAAACAGTCGTTTTTGTTTTGCTTTGTTTTAAAATGTGTATAAGAACGAGTGCCTTTTTCAGTTTCTCATAGATACAAAATGTTTGAATTTTTTCAAATGAAACTCATGCAGTTTTATGTATTGACGTAGCATTTAGTTTTGGACTTGTCTCTGATTGACATCGGTGACGTAAATTCGATTATATTAGTGTAAAGTGCCCTTTACAGAACTTTGTACATACAGGGTGACTTCGAAGTTGAGTCATTTATTTTAACAGTGAGTAGATCTGATCAAAAGAAATGTTTTTTTCCTTTACAATTTTTCTGGCAAAATTAAAGTAACAAAGTTATAGCCCTTTGGAAGTTTGAGTACCGCCCTGTCTCAATAACAATATTATCTGCTCGTGTTTGGCAACAACGGATATAATCCGCCTTATCGGTTCATCGTATCGGAAACAAAAAAGCGAAAGAATTTGGAACGATGTTTTTACAATTATTTTATTAAGTTGTATACAGTCAGTGTCAGTCGGTAACGCGTGAGTGAATAGTGGTGTCTGTTGCGTGGCTCAAACGAAATCAAAAATGGCACATATTTACGAAAATGCTGAACTTGTGGACATGATTCTTATTTACGCGGCATCACGGATTTATGCGGATCGGTTTCCCAATCGAGTGCAACCAACTTCTCGTGCCTTTGTTAATGTAGTACAAAGGGCTCGTGAATCAGGTGACTTAAGACCTCACAGGGGAGCGCATGCCGGTGCTCCAAGACCGCACGATCAAATACAGGTCCGCACTGAAATACTTGTCGGGAGGATACTTTATAAAACAAGGTAACATTTTTTTTATTTTTTTTTATTTTTACACCCATATTTTGGTTTATCTTCCTTCTACAATCATTATCTGAAAATTAATGACTCAACTTCAAAGTCACCCTGGATATTATTTCATAACCTGGTAATGTTGGTTGAGGTCATGTGTTTTGGGATAAACAGTTCGAAATTTACAAAAGCCACTAGTATGATGGACTTCAGTTTTGTTGTTGTTATATAGAAGTATGTAATCCGCAGTTTTGAGAAATTTCAAGTATTTACAAGTATTCAAAGATGTGACAACACCTGCATTTAGGCGTGGTTCTTGTCCATAACCTTCTTCTTTTGATCTTTTACTAGGATTCTCGTTTTAAAGGTTTCATGAGCATCTAGAAATATCTATTGAGCAAAATTTTCCTACGGGAATTGCTATACCTACTTTATGTGTCCATGTTATAACTACCCCCCTGAACAACTTGCATCAATAAAAACCTAACATTACAACTATTCACTATATAACTATACACTGTAGCACTGCTGATTCTAGCCATCATATCAAGTGAAGCTCTGCCCAACTCCTACCTATTTATGTATATGTTACAATAAAGTCGATTGAATTGAAGTCTTCTTTATAGTTGTAGCGAAAGTCAGGTATCTACGTGACTTCTCGGTGACTAGACGCGTAATGCTGGAAATTGCACAGCAAAGTTTCTGAATTGGATTGTATGTTGCTCGATAATAGGTACAAAGAATATCCAAGATATACTAGTCCTTTCGAGCATGGCAATCATTTTTTAATCATCACTAGTTTATGCTGGAAGAAATGAAATATAATAAAATAATTTGTTATACAGGAGAAGTACGACAACAACTGGTGGATAGGCCGTTTAGTGAAAGAGGGCTGCGACATCGGCTTCATCCCCTCGCCGGTGAAGCTAGAGAACCTGCGTTTGCAGCAAGCTGCGCAGACTACCCGCACCAGCAAGTTGTACAGCAGCAAGACCAGCAGCAGCTCCAACTTAGGCGCGGCAGCAGCGGCAGCACAAGCGGCAGCCGGTAACGATGTTTCCAGAGGTAGCACTCCTCCCACGCCCGGTATGTCCTGTCCATAACATCACGCACATACCACGATGTCGAAATACCCGGGTTTTTTGATTTTGTTTTTCTCTGTCAGGGTGTATATAAGATTAATTATAATATTAATTCGCCGGATTCCTTTCAGGACGCACATTCTTGAAAACGAGGCAATAGCACTGAAAGAGAGAGGGAGGGAGAGAGAATGGTCGTGTATCTCTGGGTTCCTGTTTTATTCATACACTTAAAGGTTCCATCACTGAGTCATATTTAGTGATGAGACTGATGCACAACGGTGATACTTCCACAATTTTTCCCAAGTATGATTCGGGGAGCCTGGAAGGCAAGAGAACCACCTCCACTTTCAGTTATTCAGCTCCATCATTTCAAGAATTGACTTCCAGAACTCTTATTTTTAAAAATGAGGGAGTAGAATCACTGAGAAAACGTAAGCGGCGTTCGCTTCCCTTGGGAGTCGTCCAAAATACTGGCAGCTGCTAGCATATGCCAAACAAGTTCGTGAATGCATCCATTTTCGGCGAAAAATGTAGGTCCTTTACCTTAGTAAACGTTCCATTACTAAGTCAACATCATCTTAACAGATGAGATAATGATAACTAGAACAGTGACTCTTCTATCACTGTTCAGGAATACAGTTTTCTGAAAGACGATAGAACCACGCCCACTTTCTCTCAGTTATTCCAATGGTTATTTTACCCCTCATTTACTCCAGGGACGTGGTAGGAAACCTGATATACAACAAATTTTACCATATACAGGGTGTTCCATTTTAATCTCCACATCTAAATATCTTTAAACCACGCATTCAAGAAAACAAGTTTTAAACAAAAGGATTTCGACGGGAGAAAATGATGGTAACTTTGATAATGACCTTCACCAACACCGTTAAGATCATTTCAAGGTCAAGTGAACATTTTTAAATAGAACTCCCTATTTTACATCGAAATTGAAAAAAGGAAAAGCAAACATGTTCGTCAGCACAGTTGTGGAGATCAACTAAATGTGATGACCTTCACTGTGATCTTGAGTCAAGTCAAGTCAGCAATTTCAAAAAAACTTCTCATTTTCAGATCAGAAATGAGAAAAGCGGAAACTTACGTCCGAATGTGATCTTGACCTCAAAGCCAAGGTCGTATCAAGGTCAAATATGATTTGAGTCCAAGGTCACATTCGGACGTAAAATTTACTGCTTTTTTCATCTCTAGTTTAAAAATGAGAGGTTTCCTTTGGAAATGTTACCTTCTCGTTGGTAAACAGTTACTTACCTTACAACTGTGCTGTCGAATATATTTGCTTTCAATGTACTTAACCTTGGAGTGACCTTGAGGGCCATGATCAAAGTCATAAGCGAGGTGATATTTGGACGTAAGATGTAAAAAGTTCTACTTGAAAATACTCACTTTACGTTGAAATGGCCTAGAAGGTCGTGCTCAAGGTCACCATTATTTTACCCCCCTGATACCCTATAGCTTTGACTAGAAAGTTTTTTATAGAATGGGCAGTTTTCGAAATATTTATGTGAAAAGATTAAAATGGGACACCCTGTATATGTATGGTCGAAAATGAATATATTTCGAGATCTCAATGTTCGTCTTTTTCGACAAACACCTGGAATTAGGCATTTGAGTAATAAGAAAACGATGTAAGAAATGCATGAGAATTCAATTAGTTTCCCTCAGCTAAGTTGATGCATACTGATTTAGGTCAAATAACAGTCCACCACCTAAATGATGTTTCGATAAGTATTGCAAGTTTATATATCTTTTTTCAAATAATTTAGCTCGATACGAACTTCTTAGTTGCCCATGGTGGTCTACATTCACTGTCTAGTTCCTGGTGTCGTTACCATTGTGGTAAAAGCAGCTTTCAGATATTTTGTCGGGAATTGCCCAGTATAATACATTTCTTGTAGCCTGATGGGTTCCTGTGCTTTCGCTGTGTTGCTCCGCAGAAATTATAATGACGTAGAATATTTATGCCTCAAAAGTAACTACGATATCATAATTGACAATCTTACCGTATTCGAATTGCAAACCTGTTATGTCTGTATAGCTACTAAGAAGCTACATATCGAAAACTCTTGACACGGGCAGTCATCAGACTTCAGAGACTACGTTATTCTATAGCAATGTCTATAGCGCTCAGTAAATAAGGCAAACACGTTTTTACCATAAAGGTGATACAAGCATGTTACAGGCATGTACTGAGCAATATTTTTGAAAAAAGTATGCGTGTATTTTGAATAAGTATTCCAGGTACCAATCAGTTATATGATTATTATTCGATTTGAATCGATTTTTAAAGCCGACTATACGTGCCATTTTTTGTACGAATTGTGCGCCTAATGTACTTGCGGGCTAGAGACCGGTTTTTCCTAAGAAAAATCAATTGAATTCATCTTACAAGGGTTGAATGGAAGAACACTAAAGTGATGCACAGATGAACTTCGCCCTTCACCAAACACCTTCTTTTAATTGTAAGTTTTATTTCTTCTGTTGTTTGACGAATAAAGACGTATATTAAGTTATAATTTTTTCCTCACTGGAGTCAAATGCTAAATTTCGGGTGAATCACAAAAGAAAAATTTAAAAAGTGTCGAGAATTATTGATTTTCGCCCATACATGTATAGGGTGAAATTTGTTTCATTTTTAGTCCCCCCTTACGCCCTGGAAGGAATACGGCAATAATCCTGAAAAATTTGTCAGACAACTTAGTCATCTGAGATCGTGATGTATCAACGAATGGACGCGAGAACAGTCCAGAGGCATTCGGGCGAACGAGAGTCCCTCAACGGTATCTAAAATGTTGGACACTAGTACTCCAGACCACCCGTACTATCCCAAAGTTTCTCAGCGACAAAGAATCCGCACCGACAAATCTACTCTTCTACTTGGCATTGTACAATGATGGTTTTTTTTCCACGTCCATGGTATGAAGGCCATGCTGAGGGGTGTCGCCTTATATTTTCTTTCCGGTACCGAGATAAGTGAGACCAAACGCCTCCCACTTTTCTGTTAAATAAAAACAGCTAGGTACACTAGATTTTTAAAAATGGTGCAAAGCTGCCAATTGGCTGTCGAAGCAGTGTACTCGTAGTATTCTTCTCCGAAGCCCTTCACATGATTTTTGCTGGTATAATATTGTACCCGGAGAAAATGATCACAATATACATTTAGTGTGCACTGGTTTGGGTTCAGAAATCAACACCGATTCCCTTTCTTACCTACATTTGCTCCATCAATCTCAATTTGAATGCATAAATGGAGAAATAAAAAATGCTGTTTGTTCGCATATGATTACTTACAGCAAAATATTTCATAGATGTCATAGCATGCATCACGATTTTGGATTAAGTTACTTTACCTGACAAACTCTTATCACCCTGACTTCCATTTATTTGAAAGTCTGAGGAAAAAATACCTGGTGCTTAAATTTATCCTATCTGCGATGAAAAATAGGTCTGAATATATTTGGTTTAAAAAATAATAAGAATTTAAGCTTGGCTACCCATTTGCCATTGGATAGATTGATTGCACTCCACAACCAATAAACCAAAGTACAGTAGTACAGTTCTACCGTAAACAAAACAAGTTTTGGTACTACTTGGTATATCTAGTTTGTTGTAGCTTTGAGAAATTGAGGAATAACCAATATTGTGCAAACCAAGCTAACGTGAATCTAACCGCGGTTTATAAGTTATAGCAGCCTCCTATCATTGTTTGGGTAATCTCCAGCCAAATGAAGGGTTTGTTGCAAAAACCGCTCATTTTCATTATTTATAGTTTTACTGTATTAAGGAAACCACTTTTTTAAGATAAGAAGGTGAACCAACTGAGAGTAAGTTGCTTTAAGATGTAGAAGCGTATACTGGTAAACAGTTCTGCATGAAAAAAGAAACGTGTATTTGTATTTTTTTTCGTGCGATACAAAAAGGAGCTAGCTGTTTTTTTGCTTGTTAGGACCTAGGTTATCTCATAAAAAACTATTTTATTACTCAACATAACATAACGAAGTATTCATTCAAAACATTTCAACTTCCACGTTTTCGTCTTCAATGTCCTATTGAAGAACTATTTCCGGCCCAACAACAGCACCAAACAGCTTGAAATACTGTAGCATAGTACCAATGGTCATTTTTGGGTTTATACTATTCAGCTAAAAATCGATCATTTTCTAGTTTTTTGGTTTAATGGGCAGATGATATGTCTGGTACAGTTTGTCTGATGATAGCGAATATGTGACGGACGGTTTTTTCAAACAAAATTCCGAAAACAAGGTTATACTGGTAGACACACTACACTTTACAACGTGAGACTTTTCGTGTTTGAAAATACGGTACTTTGATATGGCAAACTTCTCTTTTTTACTGTATGTAATATTTAAAAAAAAAACGATAACTGAAGTGCTGGGTGAAGTTGAGGATCATATCCTGGCTCACTTGTACGACTGTTAATTTCTTTGAAGTATTTTTGATCAAGTCTTTCCAACCCTTGGTCGAATAGACTACTTCTTTTTTATCGTGATTTCTTCGTATTACATACTCTTGATATTTGAAGATTAACAAAGAGACCCGATTTGTACTTTTACTTTTAGGATATATTTTATATTTTTTTTAAACAGATGACGCACAAGTTTAATTAATATAACATCAATATAACAAATCACTACACTTTTGAAAATTGCTGTGGTTCAGCAAGAATGCCTCTTAACTTGTTCTCACTTGATACATACTTCTTATCAAAGAGACCTTTGTAGTATCAATCTTTCACATAAAAATGTTTCACTTCAATGTGTCTGCTTGTTTTGATTCTACCAGCTTTGATTAACTTGATTGTATTTTCGCTGTCAATATAAGGAGTTGCTTTCACTGGTTAGTTAGTTAGTTCTCTGAGTAATTCCAATAAGTTCTTCAGTTCCTTTGCACACTCACAGGCTGCTATTAGTTCAGCTTCAGTGTTTGTCTTCCTGAGCACCACAATACCGGTCCATCACAAAACAT